CGTCTTGATGAAGTTAGAATCTTGGGATATTTTTATACTAAGCATATATAATATAGAGAACCAGATTCAACTATATAATCCAATTTCATCAACAATTTGATTGATGGTGGTGAATAAAATTTGTATATTGTTACGGGTGAGTGAAGCTAAGAATAATTAGCTAAAAGCAGATTACAACCGTTGGATTGATCTTGAGATAGGATACTGTACAACGCATACTACAGTAAGACCAAACTGGTAATCGTGTGAAACAAAGCCACGTGTTTCCTTTGCTGTAAGGTGCTGTTTTGATTTCGACAATAGTTGGATGTTGACTTTTCTTTTTTTTCATTTTCTATCAACGATTTAATATCAAAAGCTAAATTGTAACGAAATTTCCCGCAGACAAAAAACATATCTATTTATAAATACCTGATTGACACAATTTTGTAACGAGCAAAATAATATTTGTATACTTACAAAATACTATTAGATCGTTCGTGGATTTAATTCGGGTGGTGAGCATCTTATCTTAATTAGTTTAATTTAAAAAATAGATAAAATGTGTAGGTAGACGGTAGACATATTAGATGATATACCTACCTAATGGGACTTAATTATGATTATTATGTAAAGTCGAAGCTATTTAATCCTATTTTAATAGAGAAAATGACCTTAATAATCATACTCGTTTATACTTACTCTTCAAGCCTCAAAGTCTCGTTACTGATAAACGAGAAATAATGTTTGCTTTCTTTCATTAATTGAAAATATTATATCAGTTTTTATTTTTTCAATTAATTTTCCATTATTAATCAAGTAGAAAAATTCATATTATTTTTTGTTCTTTAACTTTCGGTCCGTGGAATTGCTATTTACAGACTGTGTGTACAAACTTTGTTCGCTGGCTTGTCTCTAAACTATATGAATGCAATTGTAAGGACCATTGCTGCATGAATTTAATAACATAAAAATAAAAAATATTTTTGGTTGTTTATAGCATATGACAAAAGATTATATTGTATTTATCCTCTAATTTTGGGAAGGACAAAATAATCTGATAGTC